TAACATTAATATTCACATATTAATTGTTTAATTAAAAGTTGAATTTTACGGAATCTTACGGTAAATTACGTAATATTACATGTAACGTAAGATTGAAATGAATATTACATGTAAAATAACATCACTACTCATATTGGACTGGATTTCAATGTTAAACATTGGCTCGCATTTCATTTGGACGACACGACACAACATCAAAATGTTATCCCATTGTGTTTGTTAAGCACCGCATCGCCAGAGATGTATGGCTCCAGTAGTTACCACTCAACTCAGTCTCTCTTTCCCTCATCTCATCTCTACTCTCATCCCTTCGCAAACATATAAACGCACAAAAAAGTTACGAAAACTTATATAAAAATCACAAAACAGATGATAGAAAAGAAATATTGCAAAAATAGTAATAATAAGAGGCATAACAACAAAAAAAACTTATAGTAAATCCTGTTTTGTCTGTTGTATTGGGACAGGGATTTGGAGAGAGAGAGAGAGAGAGAGAGATTGGAGTTGTGAACAAGATTGCATATAATGTACGAGAAATCATAATTTTCGCAACAAAACTATACACATAATGTCATACAATATGAGATGAAATGTTGATAAGGGAGGAGAGGAAGGGATGAAATGGGAAAAGGAGTTTAGCCTAACTTAAGAGAGACTGAGAGGCATAACAACCGCACAACAAAACGCATATAATATTTATATAATACATAACAACAGTATATGAATATTAATTTATTATAAGTTAACATATAGTGAACAGTAAAGTATATGAATTTTCGTGTGATAACAATCAGATGTTATGCACAACAACTACTAAATCGCTGGTATGTATGGCTGTGTTTGCGATTGGTATGAAACAGTTGTTGCCCACCACTTATCTCTTCCTTTCCTTCCCAACCACCACTTTCTCTCTCTCTCTTGTGTTGAACATTAAAAGTTATCAAAATATAACTCAACATTAAATTGTATCTAGATATTTTTGTGAAAACCTAAATATTTATTTATTAATATTAAATAACATTTAATTTATGATATTTAATTAATTCTAAAACAACCAAATACTATATTTTCTGTAATTTATATTATATTAAAAATTTAATAAAAATTTACATAAGATTGTATTTGTAAATTATTCAAATTATATTAATATATAGTGTAACAAAAGTTATTTATTATGCAATTTATAAAATATAAGTAATTTTGTGCAAAAATGTTATACATGACCAGAAGAGAGGTGAGATAGATTGGGGGCAATTTTGTTTTGACGTGGTTTTTGAATCACTACAATAATTTTGCAACTATTATTAACATTAAACGTTTCTAATATATGAATAGTACATAAATTACGAAGCAGTGGTTCAATGCTAGATACCAACAGATACCAAAATATCTCTCACTAGTACATGACATTAAACATCAAATAAATATTCATTTCACAATAATCATTATTAATTATAATATTATAAATGTTTTTTATAAACCAGAAATCAATTTCACAATTGATTTTTAAATAAAATATGTTTTTAAATGTTAGATAATACGGTAGTGATTTATTCATGCTAAAACAACTGGCATGTTTATTTTTTTTAAATTTCGTATTATTTATTAAAACAATATAATACAATAAATACATATTTATAAACTAACCAGTTAAATCAATTAATTTTGCCGAGCTTTCAGATAACCCGGATCAACCATTATTATTTATGATGTATAAATATGGTATATTTATTATACAGTTAATTCTCGATTTAATATTATTAAATAAAAAATATTTTTAAAAATTTATATTGTTAAAGTTGCATGTTAAAATAAACTAAATTGTTAATTTATTCTTTAATTAAATGTAAGACATATTAACCCTATATTATTAGTTTGAAATTAATATGATAATAATTTAAACATTATAACATTAAAATATTTACTAATTAAAGTTAATTCATTAAAAACTTAAGACTATTTCTATTTTAAGACTATTACTAAAAAGAGTTTTTCACTTTTTATTAGTATTATGTTGTAGTGAATATTCAACATTAACAATAAATGCCATTATTTGTTTCATTAATATATTTAATTTTAATGAGTGTTTAAAGAGGTTTAATTCGTGTAAATGATAATAAATTAGTAATAATGCGTTATATTATACATACGCTAACTTATTTGTGACTCCCCCAAAATCAAGACAGCCCTTAATTATGTTCAATGAAAGGGCTGACAAAAAATAAGTGATAATAAGTGATTTTAGGGGGAGTTAGTGTATGACTACGTTATATTGAACAGTTTTTTTGCTGTAAACTATGACATGCACCTTTAATCCATTTATTCCATTATACATTATATAATATTAATAATAAGTTTAAATAAACTCATTAACATTTTTAATTTTAAATATTAGTGTATATTATTTTAAATAATTATTTTCTTACAAAATTAATGATTCGCTTAAATAAAAGATTAACTGTACAAATAAAACTTACTTAAAAAGTGGAATGACAATTAATTAATTGTTATAATGCAAATGTAACTAAATATTAAATTAATTAAATGTCAAACTATTACAAATTTTAAGGTATATAAGGAGCGATCAAATATCTAGTTAAATCAACAGTTATTGTTGAATCAGTAGATTGACAAACATTAATCGCTACAACTAATAACTATCATGCAAACTAAATTAATAGTACTAACAGTAGTGTTGCTGTATTTATCAGGGTCGGCGTTCGGTCTATGGCAGGGGCCATGCGGCAATTCATACGCTAACCGTGTGGCAGGTGGAGACCCTACAGCAAAAGGGGAGTGGCCATGGATGGTGAAACTATACTTTTGTTCGAGAATTAAAAATAGCGAAAAGTTGCAGTGTAACGGTTGTGGAGGTTCTCTAATTAGCGATCAGTGGATTATGACAGCCGCACATTGTATCGATACTAAAGATAACGAAAACAAAACTACACTAATTATGGCCACTGTTGGTGGTGACGATCCATTAACTCAACGCAACTTTACATTTGACACTACTAAAGTTAGTAATTTTAATGAGTTCATTATTATATTGTTATATTTTTAAGTATAAAATTTTAAATATAATTATCACCTATTAAAGTAATAAATACTAATTTTGAACGCATTTAGATATATATATACAAATATTTTAATTAATTAAATGTAATTAAATAGAATAACCTTCACATTCACGAGTCTTACATGGATGTTACAGGATCGCCATATGACATCGCTTTAATCAAGTTAGACGTAAAGCTATCACTGAATAACAATATTGAGCCTGTATGCATATTCACCACAAAATTACCTGACATATCTAAATGTGTGGCCACTGGTTATGGAACGACTGAAAGCGGAGAGAGCTCAAGTAAATTGCTAAAGGTCAAAATGCCAATTTTGAACGATGATGTTTGCTCTAAAATTCCTTGGGAAAGTTAGTATTTAATATTTTTAACGTTATAAGATTTATGCATTTATATAATATTGTATTACGCAACATAAAATGTAAATTATTCAAATATTTGGGTATAACAAATTGTCCAGAAATCTCTCATTTGTCTATAATATTTATTTTATAATTAATCATTTGTGTATTTGTAACAATATTTTTATAAAGTAAATAATCATCATACAACGTTTATGTTTGATCTAGGATTTGATCCAAGCATCCAATTGTGCGCTCAGAATCAATTTATTGGTAATGATGTCTGTCATGGAGACAGTGGTGGACCACTGACCTGCGAAATTGGCAATAATGTGTGGGTGCAAACTGGGATTGTGTCATTTGGAGAGGGTGTACTGTGCGGAAAGCAAAAGGCACCGGCCGTTTTTACACGAGTTGACGCCTTTAAAGACTGGATTGAGAAAATTACTTTTGAACCAGTTCAAAACAAATATTATGGAGGGTATAATTTAATGCCAACTTTGTCTATTAATTATGGATATTGATATAAAGAATTTTTTTAAATAAAGCATTAGAAAATTATACGACGTTTAATTTGTAAGATTAATTGCAAAGCAATTCTGTGTATCAAACTTATAAAATAAGTTTACTATACTTTGTGTAGTTTATTATAATTAATGTTATATTCGCGTCAAGTAATGCACAAACAATGAATACAACATTTACTATATGTTTTGAATAACATAAATTAGTTTTGATGGATATAGTATTTAACCATAATTCATAACATTTCCAATTGAAAAAGGGGAAGATCAAATTTCCATTATTACCGACGACTGTATTTGAAATATCACTGAAAATGTCTGCCGAAGAATACATTAGTCTAACGGCGAATGTTATTAATCTATGGTTTGGATTCTCTATCATTATGAGATATGTTTGCCCAGCATTTGAACATACAATTGACCGTCGATTCGCTGACCGACAACTAGTTCGTTTACTAATTAGGCGTTTGACTTAATGGGGAAATTGAATTTTAATTAAGTTTATTAAAATTAATATTAATATACAGTATATTTTTATTTTAAATAGCTGTAATAAACTTAAAGCTGTGTAAAAATACTTTGTACTATTTAATCTATTGATATTTATATCAAATCTACTGTTAATTATTATATTATCTATTATTATTACATTATCATTATTATAACATTAATTATTACAAATAATTGTTTTGTTTTATCAAAATTTAATTTATCTAAATCGATCTAAATTATTTTATGTAATACGTATGTATAGTTTAATATAATAATCTTGTAAAACATTATATTATAGTACAATTATTATTTAGTACATTATTAATTAGAATGTACTAAGAAGGGAATACAGGGAACATCTCCTAGAATATAGTAATTCTGGTGATATTAGCGTATTCAGTATGCATTACTGATAATATTTAGGTAATTAAATTGTGCGAATGGGTAATTTGAATACCTATTT